ACACGTTCCATCATGACGTCACGGGAACAAAGCTTTCCCCGTCCTGTTCACTTTTCGTCCAACAACCCCTCTTTCCTCGTGCGCGCGCGCACGCCACGCTCTCCTTTTCCACCCCCCGGTCTTTGTCTGCTGTTTCCCTCCGTTTTCTCTAACCCTTTCACCCACGCCAACCCGGCTCGTTCTCTTTCTCTGTCTCCTTTTGGCCGCGCTGGTCTCATTGTAGCTCACGTCGTCTACCTTCTCGCGCGCCAACCCACCGAACGGAAGAAGGCGGGGTAAATAACCACGATAGTAAACTAAGTTTGCGCTAGATGCCAAGACGTCGAAGGCTCCCGCGACCTTCCCCGATGACTCTCGTTCGACACGTTCGATCGTTAACCGCGAACCAGATCCATCTTACTTTCCAATGCGTCTGCGAAGTTTCCGCAACTCCGCGACGTCTCTCGTTACGCGGGGACAATAGCGTTTTAGCGTTACTTCGTTACGTGCTGTTACCGATACGCCAGATTGTTTGTTTCGTACCCCTCTTCGATGGTTACCACTGTGCATTACGATCCTTGTTCCGTCAACAAGAAAGGTTAAATGATCGCTTTTAAAATATTCCTTGGAATTTTTAATGTACGATGTTATTTCTGCTAAAAGGGGTCTTCTGTATCACGCATTTTTTTATGTTCTATTTGGTATTTTTTTATAAAGAAACTATGCAACTTTTTGTAGTGACGTTTCGTGTATATATTTATTACTCTGTCAGTGATATTCACGAATTTTTACAACGAGATATGGTCAAAATTAGTGGCAGTACAGAGGCTTCCATGATTCCAGCCGTTGTGTTTGTCTGACTCCAAAAAAGGAGAAAGATTCTTAATTGGGATACATTTTTCTGTAACTGGTACTAAAAGGACAGAACAAAGATTGGTAATTTAAAAAATGATTTTGAAGTTGAAATATCGACTTTTTTTATTGTTTACAACTTTAGCAGCCTAAAAAAAAAATAGAAAGAATAGTGATTTTGATTTCATTCTAGTATAAATTGGAACGAAATCGGTCGAGTCTTGAAATATCATGGAAGCCAATTCAGAAAAGATAGTTTTGAGAATAATGCATCTAAACAGAAGGATCACACTGTTCAAACAGATACATTTTAGAAGTTCAGTGATATGCTTTTGCACACATATCTTTAAGGCTATATCCTTTAAGAAAATGCAACAAAAAATTGAATTTTTTGGCGGTTTACAGTAGAAGACCCTCTTAACTTCACGACTTTTCTTATATAGTATATGTACAATTTTTCAATATTTACTGTATTCTAATTATTTTCTGAGACAAATTTGTATATTTACTTGTCAACCGGGCATCTGGTTAGCTTCTGATGTGAATAGGAAGTGTGTAGCAAGGATGAAAGGAGAGAATCTTCAGTTTTCACTGTCTTAGAACAGTCGACAACGCGTATTAAAAATAATCAATGTTTACATGCGTGCAGTTCTGAAACTACTAGTGTTTTTTAAATAATTGAACCACTGTTGGCAGCGGTGAAGCTTCCCCTTTAAAATGGTTTTTGATTTTTGTCGATCCGACTTTCCGTTTCGAAGATATCGTAATTTATGTGAAAGGCAATTTTTTTAATTCGACTATCTCTGTCTCCGTCTGACGCGTCGGACCTCCTTGTTGCACGTTGACCCACTAACCGAGTAGTAAGAAAGTTCATTGACCTCGCGACGTAAACAAACACTTCGGTCTCATCTGATCGACTTGAAACTAAAATCCTCATATCTCCGAAACTAATTACGCTATCGACTCGTTCGAACGCTCATTTTAAAGGGCATTTCATCCACTATCCAATGAATGTATCAACTATTACAATTCATGTTGTCCTCCATGTTTATTTTTACATTTACTTTGATGTTATGCATCCAAAAAAGATTCTGCAATTCCTATCGATCATACGACTGATATGTATAATAAAACTGTATTATAAATTGTTTATTTAATTGAAAGAAATCTAAATTTCTATGCAAGGTGTTTACATAAATATTAACCAGCATCTTTGCGTAAATAATGGTTCTCTTTATAGTTTCTTTAAGTTGCTAACTATAAATAAAATTTATATTCTATTTTTGCACAGCAAATAAAATTCATTTGGATTTCTTGTTTTGAAGTGAACAGAAATAATGCCAATCGTATGTATCCTTTTTTTTAAGATCTTCGTTGAACTTAAATGAATTTAAACTGAATAAAGAAGTACTCTATTTACAAAAATTCGTACTAAACTTAAAGTTGGAATTTAAAGTGGAATTCCGATGTGTGAGTGTATATTAGCCTGAATAATAATCACGTGCAGATGTCTCTACGTTGACGCGACAACCCTTACACATCCCCACGGCTGTTTGTTACGTTTGAACGCATAACGCATGATCTGAAATTCCCGCGAATTGTGTTTTGAATGTGCCCTCGCATATAATCTTGGCATAAATTATATAGTTCTATCGTTACGCTACGATCCGGGAAACAGTTCCGCCGATTACGCTGGTACCTTCTAACAAAGGGAAGCCTGTTCAACGTACAGACTACGAATCCGATGCAGCATCTCACTACTAGAACGTAGGTAGACTTGTTATCGCTTATTTGGTACTCTCTCGAGCAGAAACCTCGAATTTCTCGATCCCTTCCGATTTATCCTTCCATTTCTCATTCCGTTCTATTAAAGGAACAAAGGTTAAGGATGTATAACGGAGCACATATTCGTTCCACGAAGGTATTTCTGGCATTTACACAGCAATCTTCATTTCGAAAATTACCCCCGAAATTCATTCTTACTCGCGATATATCAAAATAAAATGGTTATCGAAAATTCTATTTAAAAGACTCAATTCGTATAATTTTGCATATCGATGGGTTTCTTCTTTTTTAAGGAAAAGACATACATATATACTACCACAATTGTAAATAAAATGGTTATCGGGAATTCTATTTAAAAAAACTCAATTTGTATAATTTTGCATATCGATGGGTTTCTTCTTTTTCAAAGAAAAGACATACATATATATTACCACAATTGTAAATAAAATGGTTATAGAAAATTCTGATTAAAAAAACTCAATTTGTATAATTTTGGATATCGATGGGTTTCTACAATTTTACAGTGGATAATGATGACTGAATATTTGTCATACCTGAATGCATCCTATAAAACACTCTTTTTCAAAGAAAAAACTTACACATATATTATCACAATTATAAATAAAATGGTCATCGGAAATTCTATTTGAAAAATCTAAATTTATATAATTTTGGATATCGATGTGTTTCTACAATTTTACAGTGGATAATGATGACTGAATATTTGTTATCCCTGAATACATCCTATCAAACATTCTTTTTCAAAGAAGAAACTTACACATATATTATCACAATTGTAAGTAAAATGGTCATCGAAAATTCTATTTAAAAAAACTAAATTTGTATAATTTTGGATATTGATGAGTTTCTATAATTTAACAGTGGATAATGATGACTGAATATTTGTCATACCTAAATACATCCTATCAAACACTCTTTTCCAAAGAAGAAACTTACACTTATATTATTATAATTCCTAAAAGAAATAATTTACTAGTGGCAATGGTTTAAAAGATGACATCTGACTTTTTAACATTCAAAAATGGTGTCACTATTGTTCCAATTGATTTCATTTTGAATAATATCTAGCTACTCGCTTTAAAGAGGATTTACCCTGTTCTCAAACTGCATATTGCCCTAGAATTTCTAAAAGAAATAACTTACTAGTGGTAATGGTTTAAAAGATGACATCTGACTTTTTAACTTTCAAAAATGGTGTCACTATCATTCCAATGATTTCACTTTGAATAATATCTAGCTACACACTTTAAAGAGGATTTACCCAGTTCTCAAACTGTATATTGTCCCAGAATTTCTAAAAGAAATAACTTACTAGTGGTAATGGTTTAAAAGATGACATCTGACTTTTCACTATCGTTCCAATTGATTTCACTTTGAATAACATATAGCTACACACTTTAAAGAGGATTTACCCTGTTCTCAAACTATATATTGCCCTAGAATTTCACAAAGAAATAACTTACTAGTGGCAATGGTTTAAAAAATGACATCTGACTTTTTAACATTCAAAAATGGTGTTATTATCGTTCCAATTGATTTCACTTTGAATGTCTAGTTACACACTTTAAAGAGGATTGTTCTCAAACTGTATATTGTCCTACAATTTCTAAAAGAAATAACTTACTAGTGGTAATGGTTTAAAAGATGACATCTGACTTTTTAACATTAAAAAATGGTGTCATTATCATTCCAACTGATTTCACTTTGAATGTCTAATTACACACATTAAAGAGGATATTTCGCCCTCTTTTCAAACTATATATTGCCCCCCAATTTCTATAAAATTATTTTACGACTAACAGCATCCACAGAGATAATTTTCAAACGACACGAGGATACTGAAATTCATAATTTGCATCGAATCGTCACCTTTCTCGTGAAATTATTCTCGCCAGAATGTTGCAAACGATATAGTTCCGATTTATTTCACATCGATGGCACGGTGACGAAAGTATGCTTCCCGCCTCTGGTGGTCTCTTTCGTTCATCCCTGTTGCAGAGCCAGCGGCGACCTGGCGTATAACTCGACAACGCGAATCCATTTAAGCCGCTCGAAAGAGGCACGCTCTCCGATTCCACTCGATCTTCGTGCCTGACGTGTAAATGCCGGGGTTAATGCGACGCGCTCCATTAAAGTCGAGTCTCGACACCCCGGAACATTGCTAATTACACGTGGCGCGCATAGTCCATGCTCGCCAGCCGACCATCCTTCTCCACCCCACTGTTTTCCATCCTTCGTTTTCCGGATTTTCCTTCGCCCTTGTTCTCCCGTATCCTTTGCCCCGTGCCCGTTTCACACTCTGTCTCCCTTTGGCTTCCCATCGACTTCACCTCCGAGTCTATTGTTAACTTCGATGTTGGTACAGCGCTTCACCATCCTCTGTTCGTTCGCGTACTCTGTCCCTTTCAGATCCCGTTATTTCGCTCTTTTTATACCTATGGTAATCTCCTATCGGTTTAATGGCCCCGTTCTTCTTTTCTTCCTCCATTTTTCTAATTCGATAATACTTCTTTATTCGGTGCTACTTGTTGAGAAGCGACCCTGGCCACTTCACGGAAGCATTCGTATTCGTTTCTTTTCTTTACGAAGAAATTCCCTGATAATCCGTTATTTAACGTACGAAGGAATATTGGTTATTTCAAGTGACAGAATAAATATAAACAGAAGAATGAAATACTGGTTTGAATATAAATGGAAGGAGAAAATATGGAATTGCTTCGTGGGATGTAAATTGCTTATTAAAATGAAACAAAAAATTCTGCTATTTGCTTCGTACGAATTTAAAACAGTAAAATGTATTCTTTTTTAATTCGATAATACTTGTTGAGAAGCGACCCTGGCCATTTTACGGAAGCATTCCTATTCGTTTCTCTGTTTTCCAAAAAAATTCCCTGATAATGTATTATTTAACGCGGGAAGGAAAGTTGGTTATTTTAATAACAGAATAAATATAAAGAGAAGAATGAAACGTCAGTTTAAATATAAATACGAGGAGAAAATACGGAATTGTTTCGTGCAACGTAAATCGATTATTAAAATGAAATGATATTCCAAGAAGTGGATAGACGGGAAATAAAAAATGCGATATGTTTTGTCCGAATTTAAAACTTATTTTACTGTTTCTTTTGTTCCATTTTATTAATATACGAGATTTCCAGCGTCATCGTTTAACGAGATTAGCCAAAGTCTCGCTGTTTAAGATGCGTCTCGCCGGAAAACGATCAAGGAACTTTGCTTGGAAATATTTCCTGGACAAAAGTACCGGTTTCGTCGTTAAATTCGCGGAATTTAAACCGTGCAACTCGTCACGGTACGGGAAACAAACTTGCCATTAGGGGAGCAACGTTCGCGCGGCTGTTTCCAGCAATTGCACGGCCCAGCTACGAAAACGTACGCTGAAGAATTATTACACATCATGTGCAGGTAAACTGGTAAGATTAGTAACAGGATAATCGCAAATGCATCCCCGTACAGATTAAATCCCGTCTCGACAAGAATTTGTAATGTCTGTTGTGTCCGCTGCAAAACTAGTTCCTCTAAAATTAATTTCGTCAGCAAAGTATCGCTGGCCCGTTGCTGTGCTCGCGCTGGCCAAAGATTCGTCAGCGACAACCGACATTTTCGCTGTGACAACGTCTTCGTCGAAATTAAACGGAAAATCTATGTTATAAAGCCTGGATCATTGGCACTGTGTTTTGGAATTTTTTAGAAAAGGAAGGGACAATCTTTCTTGTAATAAATCAGCCTCCAACCCTTAAATAGATCGAGCTGTACAATAGCAAATTTACCCCCCAAAAATCTAGAATCTAGATATCCAAATAATTAAATGATCAATCATTGACTCTGCATTTCAGAATTTTGTAGAAAATAAACTATCAATCTTTCTCGTAATAAATCAGCCTCCAACCCTTAAATAAATCGAACTCTGCAATAGCAAATTTTCCCCCAACAAAATCTAGAAATCCAAATAAGTAAATGCTCGACCATCGACACTGTATTTCAGAATTTTTTACAAAAAGAGAAAGAATCAAACTTTCTCGTAATAAATCAGCCTCCAACCCTTAAATAGACCGAGCTGTACAATAGCAAATTTTTCCCCAACAAAATCTAGAAATCCAAATAATTAAATACTCGACCATCGACATTGTATTTCAGAATTTTTTACAAAAGGGAGGGGGATTAATCTTCCTCGTAATAAATCAGCCTCCAACCCTTGAATAGATCGAGCTGTACAATAGCAAATTTTTCCCCCAAAATTTTAGAGATTTAAATAATTAATTTCTGCATCAAATGAAATTCATTTGTCGTTGCAAATAAAATTCACTCTTTGTAAATTATATTAACACTAAACCTACCGACACTTCGTGTATACCTATTCCTACCATGACCGGTCAAATGATTTCTAATCGCCTAATTTTTGCATTATATCGTATAATATACAGTCGTACGATCAGTAGGAATTGCTGAAACTTCTTTAGGTATGTAGCGTCAAAGTAAATGTGAAAATAACCATAGAAGATAGCATAAATTATAGTAGTTTTTATAGTCATCAGATAGAGGATGAAATGCTCTTTAAAATGAGCGTTTGTGCGAGTCGATAGCTTTATTAGTTCCGGAGATATAGCGATTTTAATTTCAAGTCGATGCGGTGGCTAGTTTCTTAGATACGTGGGTCCGAAGCCTTTGTTTACGTTCATTGATTATCAATGAACTCGCGCGCGTGAAAATAGTAAACAGTGCGTAGTAAATTCTTGGAAAAACTACGCGGAAGTAGGTCACGACAGTCACGACTCACGTGCGACAAAGAGGTCCAGCGCGACGCGTCAGACGAAGACAGCGATAGTCAAATTAAGAAAAATACCTCTTTACATAAATTACGATATCTCGAAAACGGTAAGTCCGATCGACAAAAACCAAAAACCGTTTTAAAGGGGTGGCCTTGCCGCTTCTAACAATACCTTAATAATTAATAAAACCCTAGTAGTTTCGGAACTGCACGCGTCTAAAGTTTTAGTATTTTTAATACGCGTTATTAGACTGTCCTAAGACAATGGAAACTGAATACTGGACTATATACAGGGTGTTCGGCCACTCCTGGGACAAATTTTAATTGGAGATTCTAGAGGCAAAAATAAGACGCCCGATCGTTATAGGCAAAAGAGACTACATATTTTTCTCAGAAAATAAACAATAAGAATAGAAGTGAATATTGAAAAATTCATTGTACGTATGCTATAAGAAAAATCGTGAAGCTAAATGTGCGCTAAAATAACATTGTGCGTTAGAAATTCTAAACAAAATTTTAAAAACGGTCATTTGACCGGTTCGTGGTAGGTTTAGTGTTAACGACGTGATGGGGTTGATTTTTAATAGATCTAGCGTTGAAAGTCGCGGATTTGGGGCATCGGAGGAAAGTTAGGTCTAGGATCAACCTTTCTCATAATAAATCAGCCTCCAGCCCTTAAATAAATGAACCTGTACAATAGCAAATATCCCCCCAAAAATACTAGATATCCAAATAATTAATTTCTGCATCAAATGAAATTCAATTGAAAAGTTTGTCGTTCCAGATAAAATTCACTATTTGTAAATCGTATTATAGACGGCATGGGGTTGATTTTTAAGAGCTCTAGCGTTGGAAGTCGCGGATTTGGGGTATCAGGGGAAAGTTAGGTCTAGAATCAACCATTCTCATAATAAATCAGCCTCCAACTCTTAAATAAATGAACCTATACTATAGCAAGTTTCTCCCCAAAAATACTAGATATTCAAATAATTAATTTCTTCATCAAATGAAATTCAATTGAAAGATTTGTCGTTCCAGATAACATTCACTATTTGTAAATCGTATTATCGACGTCATGGGGTTGATTTTTAAGAGCTCTAGGGTTGGAAGTCACGGATTTGTGGCGTCGAAAGAGAGTTAGGTCTAGGATCAACCTTTCTCATAATAAATCAGCCTTCAACCCTTAAATAAATGAACCTGTACAATAGCAAATATCCCCCCAAAGTACTAGATATCCAAATAATTAATTTCTGCATCAAATGAAACTCAATTGAAAGATTTGTTGTTCCAAATAAAATTCACTATTTGTAAATTCTATTATCGACGTCATAGGGTTGATTTTTAAGTACTCTAGCGTTGGAAGTCGCGGATTTGAGGCGTCGAAGGAGGGTTAGGTCTAGGATCAACCTTTCTCATAATAAATCAGCCTGCAACCCTTAAATAAATGAACCTATACAATAGCAAATTTTCCCCAAAAAATCTACATATCCAAATAATTAATTTCTGCATCAAATGAAACTCAATGGAAAAGATTGTCGTTCCAGATAAAATTTACTATTTGTGAATTGTATTAACGACATCGTTGATTTTTAAGTACCAGCGTTGGAAGTCGCGGATTTGGGGCATCGATGGGGAGTTAATAAATAACGATTCGCGGCACGCTCTTATTATTCCGGTTCTTTCGCGTATGGCGAAGAGAGGGATTGCTTGGCGATGGAACAGGAGCTGCCAGGAGATTCAGTGGACGCGACGCGCCATTCGGAACAAAGCGGTCCTTCTGCGGCCGGATAATTGCAAATTCCATTTCGACGAGGCAAAACCACGGGAGCAATGTAGTACGCCGTCGTGGAAGCGCATTAGCGATCGGGCTGATTGCACTTTTACTACGAACGGTGACGGTGCTCGGGGACCCTGTTAAGGAATGCAGAAGTAGCATGCGAAAGCGGAGAATTCAAATTGGCTACGGCTTCAGAGACGGCGCAATATCTTATTACCATTTCCGCGACGCGCTCCTTCCACGTTATTTTTGCGCAACAGACTAAATACGCTCGCTGCTTTCGTGTCAGTACATCGACGAGAAGGGTTGACAACCCCCTGGACAAACAAAATTCCACGCTAAAAAGTAAATCGACGCGTCGCAATACTTCCAGAGACTCGATTTTATTTAAAAATTACAACTAACTCGAAAAATAAATATTTCTATAAATCTATTAATTTAAACATGCATCTATGTTATTGACACATTGCAATAAAACGATGTTCATTTTTTGAAATTAATTTTCTTTAGTTGTTAACATGGTTTAAGTATGCATAGAACCAGATTTTATTAAATTTTTTCTTAGTAAAGAAATATCTTGTATAAATTGAGTTCTACGTATGTCAAAATTAATTGTTATTTACTACTAGGTTTTATAATGGTGTAAATATGAAATCATGAATAGACCTTTATAGGGATAGAATAATTCTTATTTAAAAAGTATTTCTATTGGTTCTATCTTGCTTTTACATCATCATATATAAACTCGATTATTGATTAAAAGTTGGCAATGTAAAAGGGAAGAATCAAATTCAAATAGTTCTATGAAAAAGAAGAATTATTTTTTTATTTAGAATAGAATGTTCTGTTATTGTAAATGAAAAATTTCAAATATTCATTTGGATTCTTGACACCTCGAATCCAGGCTCCATACATATTTGGCAGC